AGCGCTACCCACTACCCCACTGGGTCAGAAGAGGGAGAGGTCTTAGAACTTAAGATAAGTAAGCATGGGCAGAGAATGTCAGAGCTCAGGACAAAGGAAGAGAGAGGTCATTTTATTCCACCCCCACCGCACCCCCATCCACCCATTTGGTCCCAGAGCCGCAGAAGAGCCCTGGGCCAGTTTGGGGTTTCTGGGTGGGGCAGGCTTCACACAGGTTAGGGACTGGGGCAGGGAGAGAAAGATGAGAAATGGCCGATCGATCTTTCCTTCTGGGCCTAACCCTTCCCAGACTTTCTTGGCTTTCTTCCTTGGACTCAGAGTGCTCATTGTCTGGTCTGTTTCTGCCAGATCCTGGGGGCACAGCTTGGCCCCCATCCCCATCCCCTCCCATCCCCCTGGCCTTCTCCTGCCCTGGTCTCTGGGAAGGCCACCCCCACCCCCAGATTTACTAGGGAAAGCCAATCTGGGGAAAAGTCAAGGCAGGGGTAAGGATTTGTTTCACAAAAGGGACCTTTGCTTGACAAAGGGATTCCCCCCCCCCCCAGAGAATTTTAAATCATGCCATTGACAAAAATGTTCATGGAACTCTCCATGTTTTATTCTGGAATGAGCCACTGTGCTTAAGGCCTGGCCATCCTGCTGGGCCTCGAGGCTCCTGGGAGGTTGGAGGTGAGGTGGCTAGACTTTCTTCTGAAGTGGAGTGGGGTTTGTGTAAACCTTAAAGTACCATAGCCTCACTACAGGCTGGGAGGGAGATGCTATTATGCCCCCCCCGCCCCCATTTTATAGGGGAGGAAACAAACTGGCTAAGGGTGAAGTGACTTGCCCAGGGGTCAAACAGCCAATCAGTTTTGTCTCAGGCAGCATTTGAACTCAGGTCTTCCTGACTCCCAGTCCAGTGCTCTATTCCCCACTACTGTCATTAAAAGAGTTGGAGAACGTAGACCTAGAATGGAGAACACGGAAGCTGGGAGGGGCTTAGCACACACCACAGAAAGCCACTGGGAGCCACTCTAAGACATAGAATGTCAGATCTGAACCCAGAACGTACAGTTGGGAGGGCCCCTAGCACACAGAAGGAAGCCAGTCAGGGCTGAAGGCCCAGAGCCAGGTGCTGGTCTCCCAAGCTGGGGGGGGGGGGGGCGTTCCCCCAGCGGGGGGGGGCCCGGGGGGCCCGGGGAGGGGGGGGGGGGGGGCATCTCCCCAGACGGATGGGTACCTGGTGACACTGGAAAGGAGTGGAGCAGGACCCCCAGAAACCAGCCTCCATCTTTGGGAAGCAAGGTTTTTCCAGCGCTTTCCTCACAGCCTCCTGCAAAATTCTCCATTTCCAAACAAAGCAGATCCTTCACCAGGCAGTCAGCAGAAACACCCAGTGGGTCGGCAGGCACTGTGCTCTCCCGGTTAAGTTTTTCCAAAGTTGGGGGTGGTTGGAGGGGCAGGAAGCTGTGACCGACCGCTGGAGAATAGTTTCCTCCTTGGGGCCCCCAAGAATCTTCCTACTAGTAAAGTGCATCCCTGGGAGAATGTAGCATTAGAATGGAAGATCCTGGAGGGCAGGGACTTTGTATCCCAGGAGTCCAGTACATTTCCAGGCACAAAGAAAGGGATTATTGGATACTTGTAGATTAAGAATGACAAAAAAGTTGGCGCAGGCAGCCCTAGATCTTCTCCGGGGCTGGCCAGCTTTCTGAGCCCCTCTTGGTCCAGAATAGATCCCAAACACTACCAGGCAAGAAGGATCCCGGGGACCTTCCTGGGTCAGCTGTCTTTGGGAGGGGGCCACGCAGACAATGGAAAACCCAGGTGAACCCAGCCCCACGGATGTGGAATAGGTGATCCCTATCTCTCCCATCTGCGCTAAGGCACATCCCAGGGTGGAGGGCCCGGATTCGTTCTCCGTTCTCTTCCTTAAATCTGGGTGACCTTGGGACGGTCCAAGGTGGCCCCTCAGAGCTGATATCGATGAAATGAGAGGATTAGATTAGGTGACTCACTGTACCCAAGGGTTCCTCCCTACAGCCCGGGTTGAGTGAGTGGTACAAGCGGGAGGGTCCCCCTTTTACTGAGGGGTAAACTGAGGTTTATTCCCACCAGAAGTCTGGAAGCCAGGCTTTCTGAGCCAGAGGCCCCAAGCTGCCTCCGTGGGCTTGACGACCCTGGAGGGCTCCCCTGCCAGCGACAGTCCAGGCAAGTCTGCAGCAGCAGCCTCGGTTGACCGCCACCACCCCCCACTTGTGGGTCAACAGGGCCACCCCCGATGAATGCGAGTGGAAGATGAAGTGGTCCTACGTGGGTGGGGGAAGAAGGGGGCAGGAAAAGAGGGGCGCGGTGGCCCACTCGGGGCAAGGCTCCATTACTCATTCTTTGAAAAAACAGAGGAAGATGAATGGGGAGGCCCCGAGCTGGGGCAGCTCCCCTCCTGCCTTGCAGAGTAAATAAACAGAGGGGAGGGGGCGGGGAACAAGGGCTCCACGGCCGAGGGGGAGGCAGCCTGGGCACTGGGGGCATCCCTTTCCACAGGGGCATATGGTGAAGGCTCCCCTCCCCCCTCCCCAGACCCTGGCGCTGTGTCCAGCGGTCAGCCCATTGGGAAGGAAGGAGGGGCAGGAGTCCTGGGCAGATGCTAACGGCGGAGGGGGAGGGCGCTGCGTGGGGCGCGTCGGGCCCAGCCTTCCGGGCCCGGAGGGCACCGGGGGCCGCCCGGGCGAGATGGGGCGTGCGAGGGGGAGGGGAAGGAGGGAAAGAGAAACAATTCGGGTCTGGGCCACTCCTTCTGCAGCAGCAGCAGCCCCCGCATCCCCACCAGGGGTCGCCTTGCACCGAGGAAAGCCCCGGGACCAAGGCCCCTCATTGCCCCGCAGTGATTGATTGATTCGCCCCAGCCCCCCTCCGCGCTCCTGCGGGCCCGGCCTCCCCACCCATGATCGCAGTAGTTGGGGGCAGTCCCAGCTCCCCCTCCCGCCCGGCCAGGGGCTCAGCCTCCCTGCAGCTCCCGGAGACCGCCCTCCGACCCCCTCCCCCGTCGTGAGCTAGGAAGCTGGAGATTGCGGCAGCCGTGCGGCCCCCCCCCCCCACGCACGGTCCTCCGCTAAGCAGCTCTGCAGCCCCCTCTCCGCAGGCCGGGCCGGGGGCTCTCCCCCAGATCCCCGCCACCCAAACTCAGGAGCTGGGGATTGCTGCAGCCGCGCTGCCCTGAGCCCCGAAGCCCACCCCGCAGCCCATGCACGGCCCCCTCCCCCCGGGTACAGTCGCTGTCTTTTTTGCACCGACTGGCGCATGCAAAACGCCCCCCGCACGGCCGAGGCCATTGCCCAAGGGTCTCCCCCTTGCAGGATCGGGCCGGGAGGGCACCGCGAGACCCCGACTCTGCAAGGCGGCCTCCGGCCCCAGCAGCAGAAGAAAGGCCCGGGGGCTTTTGGCGCGAAAGCCTCCTGGCGCCTCCCCTGACTTTTATGGAAATCGGGAGGGTGGGGCTTGGGCCGCCCCCCGCCCCCTGCTCCACTTCCCAGCCTCCCCCCGCCGCCCCCGCCCCCACCTCCCGGCTCCCTCTAGGCACCCTCCCCCCTCCGGGTGTGTCAGAATTTGGGGGTTAATAATATCCCGGGCGCTGCAAAGCGACGCAGTCAGTGACAGGCGGCGGGCGGCGGGCGGAGCGGCCGGTGCGAGGGGTGGCTGTCCCCAGAGGAGCCGTCGGGCACGGAGGCTGCGGCTGCGGCTGCGGCTGGAGAGGAGGGTTTCGGCGCGAGAGCGGCCCCGGATCCCAGCCAGCCAGCCAGCCGGTCGGCCGGCCAGCCCGGGCGCGGAGCGGCCGAGCGCAGCCCAGCCCAGCCCAGCCCAGCGCAGCCCAGCCCAGTCCAGTCCAGCCCCGCGCGTGTGGCCAGTCCCTGCTCCCGCCGCCGCCGCCGCCGCTGCTGCTTCTGCTTCTGCTTCTGCTTCTGCTGCTTTTGCCGCCGCCGCTGCCGCTGCCGCTGCCGCCGGCTGGAGGTAAGGTGAACCAGCGGGCAGCGCCCGCACTGCACCGCACCGCACCGCACCGCACCGCCCTGCACTGCCCTGCCCTGCCCAGCTGAGCTCTGCAGCCGGGGCTGGGGCGCTGCTGCCTCTGCTCTCTCAGACCTAGGGAGAAGCGGGGCGCACGGAACGCAGCCGGGGAGCTGCCTCGGGGATCTGCTCTCCCTTTTGGACAAAAACAACCCCCCGGTAGCCTCGTCTGCCCCGTGCCCGCGCTTCCCTCCCCTTCCCTGGAGCTTGGGCCGATCTCTACGTTCCCGAGGGTGGCTGCCCGGGGCTCCAGCCGGCCGCCGGTCCGGACATTCTCGGCCGGATTATCTCAGAACGCCTCGCCCGAACGAGTGCTGCCTTGCGTGCGGCGCTTTGCACCGGAGGCAAGCGCCAGGGCTGGCTCTGCTGCACCGGGCAGGAAGGGGGAGTGCAGGGGGCACGGGGTGCGGCCCGCCCAGTGCCACATCTTGGCTCCCAGCACCGGGCGAGGGGCTTCCTGGGCTCGCGGGCTGGTTTACCCCAGCCTCGGAGCGCCTTCTCCCTAACAGGGAGACGGGAGGCAGCTGAGGGCCAGACTGAGGGGAGGGAGTCCCCGGCGGTGTACTGCTGCACCAGAGCTCCAGGGCTGGGGGGCTGCAAGGTGGGTCGGGCTGAAGGCTAGGGCGTGCTCAGGTCGGAGGTTTGGGGGTGCAGCAAATAAGCGGCCAGGTGCTCTAGAACCCCGGGGTATCAGAACTGGAAATGACCTTTCGGCACAGACTCTCCCGCGAAATCGTCTAGCTGACTAGCAGAGGGGGGCAAGGAGAACCTTCTTGGAAGCCAGAACGGAGATCCGAGAGCCGGGAAGGACCTTGGCACCGAGACCTGAGAATGTCAAAGCTGGGAGGGGTCTTAGAACGTAGAACCGAGAATGTCAGAGCTGCGAGGGCCCTTGTAACATAGAACACAGGATGCCAGAGCCGGCGGGCGGGGGATCTTAGAACGCCGAGCGGAGAATGTCAGCTAGGAGGGCCCCTAGAACACAGAATGCCGGAGGGGCCGTTAGAACCCCAGCGCACGGAATATCCGAGCTGGGAGGAGCGAACAGCGCGTCCACTGTCAGAATGCAGGGGGCCCAGGGCCCTCGGAGGCCGCCGGCCTTGCAAACTTGCCCGATGGCCCTTGCAGCCCTTCTCTATTGCATTTTAGCCCGGAGACGGGGGGACCCCTCGAGCGAGCCCCCTTGGGTAGAGAGTGTGTGCGTGTGTATTGCATGTGTGTATGTGTGTGTGCGCGCGCCCGCGCCTGCCTCTGCCTGTGTGTGTGTGTGTGTGTGTGTGTGTGTGTGTGTGTGAGAATCCTGAGCTGCTTGTTGTTGTTGGGTTTTTTCCCCAGAGCCCCCCCCTCCCCTCCCGTAGGGGCTGGACGACCCTCCTCTGCATCCTCCCCCCCTCCCCTCCCCCTCCTCCCCCAGCGGTGCAGGCGCCTGGTAACACAAAAGGGAAGGGGGTGGGGGGAGAGGAGAGGAGAGGAGAGGAGAGAAACTTCTCCACCCTCGAG